AGTCTCTTTGTTCTTGAAGTATAATTTATCGACAATATCTGTATGAAGCTTCTTGTAGAGGGATTTTGGCTTTGCCCCCAAAGTATGGGATTGACTTATTATCTGGATCTTTTGGCCGACAAAGTCTTGTTCGAAAATATTGGTGAATTTTGCTGGGAATGTATCTTCAACTGGGTTTGCCCCCCAGTATTTTTCATTAGTGAGTGCAATCTGGCTTAGGAATTGTCGAGATACTTGTTTGGCCTCTAAATGTTGAACGTCGTGGATTTTCAGCTTCTGGCTTCCTCTCAAAATGATGAGTATCTTGGATGATGTGGTTTTGGCTATGACGATTTTCTTATCTTGAAAGTTTCTTGTTTGAAGGTCCTCATTGCCGTCTCTTGAGGTTGTTCGACAAAGATCTTGGCTTGGTACAGATAGTTGGTACTTCAAATGCTAAACCGGGGGCACCCAGATTGTAAGTCCCACGATATTTTGTTTGTTTTTCTTTTGTCTTTTTTTTTTTTTTTTTTTTTGCGTGTGGGACTTACTTGACTCTGTCATGCCCCCCGACTATGTTTTTTCTTCCTTAATCTGGCGCTTGTCTTTGGTGGGACGAGTATTGAAAGGATCGAGACTCCATTTTGATGATTGATCGTGTGGGTGTCACTTCTCGTGAGCTAGGTCGAATTGGCTATTCTTTTTGTAGAAGCAAATGTTTGGCTCCCTGTGCATCGGGGTTTGGCTATTTGACTTCACCTAAACTGAGCCTCAATTTGTTGGCGAAAGTCGACTATAGTGGTGACGAGATTCTACAAGTAGCATGATGTCGTATACTCATTACACCTTTTGACTATTAGCTCACATAATTTATGGACACAAGTAGGGTGTTTATCTCTCGATTTTAGCAAAACACTTACACTCATAACACCAGTGGGTGCTCAAAATATTGACAGTAGCATGGTGTTTATAATCGCTCGACACCAGTGGGGTGTTCCCATTTTCTTAGCATGACAATCTCATGGCTTAATTTGAAAATAAAATTGAATTTGGATGGCTTTCATTTTTGTAGAAAATAAAATCCATTTTAAAGAACTCGGAAGTGGCATCCGTTATTCTGATAAAAACATTGATGCAAATTCTTAAATTAAGATTGATACCATTCACACAATTGCTCCAAAGTGGTCGAAATGTGAGAGACCTTTATTTATGATGATAAAAGCAAAAGCGGTACATATTTTTCTATGGCAAATTATCTCGATATTTTATTTACTAGATGGGACCAACATCATCCTTAAATCGAGCTTTGCCTTGTACTATGTCTACTAATTCCCGTGAGTTGGAAGTGGGTTATTGTTGACATCTGGACGCTTTGACTCTTCTTCGAACTTCAACCAACCGGCGTTCATCATTTGTTGGACTTTCATCTTAAGCGACCGACAATCCTCAGTCGAGTGCCCTGCGACTCCTGAGTGGTAAGCACAGTGTTGCTCTGACTTGTACCATTTTGGATATGGAGGTTGTATAGGCTCAGATGGTATTGGGGAAATTAGGTGACTTTGAAGGAGTTGAGGAAAAAGTTCAGTGTATGTAATGGGAATAGGTTCAATTTGGAGAGGCTTTTTGTATTTCCCATAATTACTTTGTTCTTGGTTATTTGGCGGTGGTGCGACTCGTGTCGGGCTCTGGATGGCTCGTTGAGTAGGAAAACTTGGACGTTGATTAATTATGGCAGAGTTTGCAACATATGGATGAGCTTGATCGACCTGAGGTTGATGATCCCACCTTCTTCCTCTTGATGACTCCGTTTGAGCATAATGGGCGTCTACTTCTCCCCTTCGGGCTTGGTGTGGTTTCTTAGAGGCTTCTGGAATTTCCATTCGACCTTGTTTCAAACCTTTTTCTATTCGTTCTCCGATTACTAGCAAATCAGCAAAGTTGGTTGTAGTAATTCCTACCATGTTGTTGTAATACGGAGCCCTTAGTGTACCGAAGAAGATTGACACCATTTCTTTTTCTGACAATGGAGGCTGAACGTCTGCAGCTTTCTCTCTCCACCTTTGAGCGTACTCCCTGAAAGATTCCTTCTCATTCTTTTCCATATTCCTCATATCTTCTCGGTCTGGAGCCAGATCCTGGTTATGCTTGTAATGTCTCATGAATGCATCGGCTAGGTCTTGCCACCTTTTCACCTTTGTTTTCTCTAATTGCATATACCATCTCAGTGCAGAACTACTCAAACTGTTTTGGAAGCAATGTATCATTAGCCTTTCATCTCGGATGTGGTTGGCCATTTTATTGCAGTACATGACCAGATGACTCTTTGGGCAAGTGGTGCCATTGTATCTTTCAAATTCTGGCATTTGAAACTTGTGAGGAATTACGACATCTGGGACTAGACATAGTTTTGATGCATCCATAGGCTCGTAAGATTCAACTCCTTCTATGCTTCTTATCCGTTCATTCATGTGTTCTAATTTTTCTTCCAGCATAGCTTCGATTTTATGTTCCTCTTGCTTCTCGGGTTCTCCAGATTTGTTATGTTTTGATGACCCAATGTCACCTTTGTCGCCTGTGTTCTTCGAAGGTATGAGGATGAATTTACTACCTGAGGTGTTTCCCTGAGGTTGCTCATAGTGATCGTCGTCATCAAATACGATTTCTTCCTCGTTCATTGCAACCTCCTTTCCTTTTCTGGACAATATGCTCAATATTGTGTTGAGCTGGCTTTTCATCTCATCGAAGCCTGTTAGTTTCTCATCGAACCCCACTAGCTTCTCGTCAAACCCTGTCAGCTTTCCTTTGATGTCGCTCAACTCTTTTTGAAATGCTTCCATGACGAACTCGAGCTTGGATCTAGTTAAGTACTTGAAGTCTTGACTCTTTCCTTGTGGACGAGCAATTTTAAGGAACCCTGACCAATTACTTTTATTAAATTGACTTGAATGAGTAATGAAGAGCATGAATGATGCTTATGCGATGCATAGATGTACAGATGATTCATTGGATGCACGTGCACTTTGAAAATGTTCTCATGATTTATTTTAAATGCATAAATGCAGACACAAAAAGAGAATGATGCTTATGAGTTCCTTTTTTTTCAAAGAAGAAAAGAAAATTCACATTGTTCTCACAAATAAATATATTGCGATTGGGAGAACATACCACAAGTTATCACGTCAGTAGAAAACATAGTAACATACATATAGATAATAAAAACATAACCCTATTTGGGAAAACCTAGGGCTTTCGGAAGGCATAATGACGTGGTTTTAGGGGGTTTTTGGGATTATTTTGGACGGTTGAGGGAGGCCTCTATGCTCACTATATGCTGGCAGAGGAATTCCTAGGGATTTGGTTCCCAAGTTGTATCCTGCCATAGCCCTTACGAACTGGCTGGATACCTCAAGATCAACCTCGGATCTGAGTTCAACTTGGTTGGAAAGTTTTGCGTGGTTTCCACTACTGTGAAAGTCACGGTACTCCTTTTCCGTTTCTAATAGGATAGCTCGGGTATAGAGCTTTCATGCATGAATGCATTGCGAAAATAGAATTGCGCAAATAGTAAAGTAAACACCCAACACGTAATAGAAAATTAGAAAACTTATCGAACTTAGTTATGTAGCTCGACTCTCGAAGTCCCCAGCGGAGTCGCCAACTGTCGCAACCGTCCCTCCGGGGGGTCCGAATGTCGTCGCGTCGGCGTTTTTGGGAGTCGCCATCGATCTTACTTGGAGTGGATCGAACACTCTTCGGTCGGCTCTAACCTTAGGGTCAGAACCGAGATATGGTCTGCGAAAATAAAGTTCTGGGTTCGGGAGTACGGTTACGTGTGGGGAAGTTAAGCAACACCCCCACAACGCCCTAAATCGGTACTACTTAAGTTTGATAAGTTTTATATTAGTTGGGTGTATTTTAGTAATATTTTAGTAATTTTAGGGTCCCACTGGACCATTAAATGATTTTATCATATTAGTTGTAATTTAATTATACGTCCACTGTCGTATAATTTAAAGATAAAGTTAATTGGTTAGTTGGACTCGAACCTTATCGGTTGCCTACGTACCCGTTAGACGGGATCAAAGTCCACGTAGTTCGTTCGGACTTTTAAAATTTTTACCACATTCCATTGATCGTGGTTTTCGTATCAAAATTTACTGTGAATGAAATTTAAGTTGATATTATGAAATTATAAAAGATAATATAAGGATCTCAATTATTAGAAGGAGATTTGGTGTATTAGAAAAGAAACGGGATAAACTTAATCCGCGTTCAACATTTCGTATTAGGGCTTTTACAAATAAATAAAATTGAATGGGATGATTAAATTTACGAATGATGGGCTAGCAGCCCAACTGGCTAAAACGCCAGTCGTACAACATACCCGATTGTGATTATACGGGTTCGAAACCCAGCTGCTACCACCCTTTTTGTTTCTCGTTTTATTTCAGAGAAAAGGGGAAGGGTAGTTTCGAACTTTCACCAAAACACGGTGGCAGGGCCAGTTAATTTTCGGAAACCCCAAGGGTAAAACAGTCAATTACTATGTTGAGGTATATAAACCTCTTTTGGAAACCCTAATCCTAAACCTAAGCAAAGCGGCGGCCGCTCATCTCTCTCTCTCGTCTCTCTCTCTTCACTCGTTCTCATCTTTCTCCAATTCCCAAAGCAAAGAAAGCAGAAGAAAAATAAAAATAAAAGAAGGACTCTCCCTCTCCCTCTCTTTTGTCCCGATCCTTCTCTCCTCTTCTCTTCGCCTCCTCTGAGACGAGAAGAAAGTAAAAAACAATACTCTTCCTCTTCTATTTCCAGAAAAACGAATCACTAACCCTCTCCTCTACGCCGCCGTCCTCTCCTCTCGGCTAGCCAAGGAGACCGCTCGTATCGAGCTAAATCAACTTAGAAGGTTTCGATTTAGGTAAGATCGAGACATGCATGTTTCGGGTTTCTAGTTTATTTTCATTTTTATTTCGGACTCTTCTAATTTCTGGGCTTCTGGGTTTTTGTTTTGTCGAGGAAAGATGAAAAGGGACAGGAGTCGTCGGAGATGGAGTTATTTCGTCAAAGACGAGTAGATCTGGGTGAGGTTTTGATTTGCATGTGGAGTTTTCTTGATATTTGTAAGACGAGGGTTTTCTGATATTTCCTCGGTTTTGATTTGTGCGAGGGGGGAGGAAGCAGGGAAGAGGCCGATCAACGGTAGGCTTAGCCCCTGTAATTTTTGTTTTGGTTTATTGGTTGTTTATCTTGCTTCTGGGTTTTGATAAAGTTTTTTTTTTGTTTTTGTCGAGTGATGGAGGGGAAATCTATGGCCGCCTCGCAAAGTACCGTCTACTATGGTAGGTGATGATCTTATCTCAATGATTTTTATTTTCGGGTTTATTGCATATTTAATCGATTCTGACCTCTATTTTTATTTGACGTAGGTTTTGGAACCAGGTATTGCTAAATGCTAGGTGAGGTCTCCTAACTCAGATATGTTTAACTTGGGAGGTTAAAACTAAGAAAAGATGATATTTTACTGTAGGTTTTTTTTAGTTTGTTTATGGATGCGAGTTTATGGTAGGAAGATGGGGTTTGCTAATCTTGACTTGCTAGTCTGTGATTTTCATCATCTACGAATCTGGCGATTTTTACCTGAAGATTGTTCTTAATGAACTTGGAAATAATTTACAGATTTGACTTTTGGTAAAAATCGGTTGTTTTGGATGCTTTGGACTTTTAATATGCAAATCAGTTTCATAATAAAAACACAATTAGTTTTATTTATAATAGGCTAAATCATTAATTATCACAGCCACTGCTTGCGATTTTGTGTAGACTATGATTGCTAGATTATGGATTTCTCTGTTGGTTTTGAAATCTGGAATATAATGTATTTGGGTGATTTACGTTGCAAATCCAAGTTGATCCATGGACTTTTGAAAAGTCATTTTTGCTTATTTCGAAAGTAAGCTATTTACAGAAATTTAAAACAAAAAGATCCAACTCTAATGACAGTTATCTAAATCGGTTTATAGATTGGCATAGCTAATAATAAGCAAAAGAAAATACAATAAGAGAGCTTAATGAAACTGATATGAGCAGATCTTGGTAAATAAAGCGCTTGATTATGAATAGCTTGTAAATTAAAATGCTTGAATATAAATACGCAAATAGATGGACGATTATAACATCATAATGATTGTATGGACTTGATAAAAAATGGAAAATGGAAATTGATACTAGTACCAACCTGAATTTCTAGGCCTAAGAATGGCCTTTTCCTGCGTCAGTCTTCAAATCTGCTCCTCCAATCTCGCAGTTCCCTCCAATGAACTTCGGCTAAGAGCAAGAACCGAAAAAACTGTTTGGAATGTCAATATTTCTATTTTTGTAGAGTGTTTATTTCTTCTTTCCTTCCCCTCCTCCCTCTAAGCAAATGTTGAAGAGCTTTTTATAGCCAAATGGCTACTGTTCATTGGATAGATGTGGCAATGTTTGGTTAATCCATGGATGGAGGTGGCCGGCCTACTCTTTTTAGGGGGCAGCTGCCCTCCTCCTCTGGCTTGCCCTCCTTGAATTGCACAATTGTCTGTAGATAAGGTGGGTTGGGTAGTTGGGCCTGTTTATTGTATGTTCGTTGGGCCGAGTTGGGCTCCGAGATGGACCTATGTTGGCTGATTGGGCCTCTGGTTTCTGGTTAGAAACTGGGCTCGAGTGGCAGCCAATTTTGGGCTTAAAAAAAAACTGGAATTGGACTAATTGGTCTCCTCATTTTTTCAGGTAACTGGGCTTGGCTGACTAAGAAAGCTGGGCTAGTGGACCAGATTCATGCCTCAAGGCTCAAATATTTCACTCTTTGTAATTGTATATATACAAATCAAATTGCGTGGCCTAAATTTTGTAGAGTTAGCATTAGTCATTGTTATTAATTCAATTCTCGCTTTATTTAGAGGTCATTATCCAAGTTGTTCGAAAGTTGTACGATGTATCAATTTTGAATCTTTTGTAATAGAGCTCATTTAACTATTCAATTTGTCCCATTTCCAAAATCCAAACTCGAGAGACAAAATTTGCACTATAGTCACTCTTTCATCCAATTGAGAATTTATATTTATGATTTGCTACTGCTAATCTTAACTTAAACCGATCCTATCTTAACTAATTAAGCCCTAAAATCGACTAGGAGCATATTCGATAATTGTTGGTTCATATTGACTTGCAACTGCTAGTCTCAACCAAATTATCTTCAGCTTCCTTTTTAAATATAATCGTAGTACGACGTTAAAATAATTATTTTCAGTAAAACAAATATCCCGGACAAAATGTGGTGTCTACAGTATACATTGTTTATTTTCTTTCCCTTGAATATCATGGCATTGTCTGATATTCTTTCTATTATGCAGCAAGAAGGATCAAAGATGACTCGATAAGTTGAACCACAGATTTGACTTATAGATAGCAAATTATGTTTTAATCCATCCCCATAAAGTACATCTTCAATAACTAGTGAAGTATTGCTACTGATTGTACCTTTACCCACTACAGAGGCACAATTATTGTTACCATAGTAAACCTTACCTCCCTTTTTAGGATTCAGAAAAGAAAAAAGTGCTTTATTACCCGTCATGTGGTGAGAGCATCCAGAATCTAAATACCAGATGTTTGCACCAATCTTATTATGAAAGGAAAGTAATTTTAATTAGTGGATTTAACCACCCAAACAAGTTTGGGTTTTTGTCTCTTGTAATAATAGTGGTTTAAGTCATGACCTCTTTTATTACAGAATGAGCAAAAAGGAGTGTGATTTCTGAAGTTATATGATCTTTTAGGTCTGTAAGAATTTGTTTGGTGACTTCTCCAATTATGATAATAGGAAGTGGAAGGAATCCATGAAGATACATGTAAAGTTTTTGAGCAGTTTCCTAGTTGTCTTTTTAGGGTTTTGTTCTCTTCAGTCAAGTTGGCAATTTGAGTGTCTTGTGTGAATTGAGCAGCTTGTTGTAGTTCTATAAGACTTTTCAGTCTTTTTACTTCAATGTCTCTATCATTTAATTGAGTAACAACAAGACAGTATTTGCTTTTTAGTCTATTGCATTCATCTTGCAGGTTAGAAAGGGCATTTAGAAAAAAATCTTCGTTTTGATTATCAGAGATAAATTCAGAGGAAGACTCTAACCAAACCTGATCATTAGAACCTTCATCTTCAATGTTGGAATTGAGTCCCATGAGAGCCAAGTTCTCAGTTTCCTCCTCCGAGCTATAGTCACTCCATGAGGCAACCATGGCTTTTTCCCTTTTTCTGTTCAGGGGACAGTTTGCTATGATGTGACCTGTTTTACCACATTTAAAGCAAATAGTAGAGTCAGTAGTGTTTTTCAATTCTTTAGGACTGTTTTCGTGTCTGTTTGATCCAAATGAGTTTTTTTCATTTGAATTTCCAGGGCTATGTCCATTGGATCTAGAGTTATGATGAGTCATGTTTCCAGAAGGTCTAAAGGAGTATCCATTGTTTTGATTGTTCCTTTTAGCATTCTGATCATGCTTGTACTTCATCATTCTCTGGAGTTTCTTGCTGGTGAGGGCAAGTTCATTCTCGAACTCCTCATCCAGTTTCTCTCCTTCATTACTACATACAGAATTGAAAGCTATATTTTTTTTCTTTTTGTCATGAAGAGAAGTCATTTGTTTTAGCACTTCTTCATGACTTAGTAGGGATCCAATCAAGTTTTCCAGAGATAGAGTGTTTAGATCTTTAGCCTCCTCTATAGCTGTTCTCTTAGCCATCCATTCAAGAGGAAGAGATCTGAGTACTTTTCTAACTAGTTCTTTACTAGAGAAGGTTTTTCCTAGACCCTTGAGACGATTAACTAATGTAGTGAATATTTTGTCCATTTCAGAGATTGATTCTCCTGATATCATATCAAAAGTTTCATATTCCTTAAGAAGAAGATCAATTCTGGTTTCTTTTACTTCTGAAGTCCCTTCATGAGTAGTTTCTAGGATTTCCCAAATTTCTTTGGCCGTTTCACACTTATTTACTCTTTCTCCTTCATCATCTGATATAGCAGAAAGTAAGATGTGCATTGCCCTAGAATCTAATTGAGCACTTTTCTTTTGATATTTTGACCAATCCTCCTCATCGTCCTCTTTCATGTCAATTGGTCCATTTCGGACAATTGCCCATAATTCACAGTTGATTCCTCGAAGGTAAAGTCTCATTCTTTTCTTCCATACATAATAGTTAGAACCAGAAAACCAAGGTGGGTTTGAGCTGGTGGGAAATGAGTTAGAAGACATGGTAAGGCACAGGATCTCCTTATCGGCAACTTAAGTTCCACGGTAAGGGGGCTCTGATACCAATTGTTGAATACCAGTGTCTTATCTCATTTCACTCAACAGAGTTCGACAGAGATTTAATCAATTCTAGAAGTAGATGAATTGGTTCGACTGGAAATGACAAATCACTTAATACTACTGATTCAATCAAATAAGAAAGCAAGAGGGCGAAGAAAGCAGAAGGCAGACAAACTATGAGCCACGCCCAGATTGCGTAGAGTTCCTGGCTGAAAGCCCCAGCTCTACGAATCCAGACACAACACTTAAGAACCCAACCCAACTATCCCAAGAACTAACCAGTTCTTCCCGATAGCGGAACCGTTGCTTTCTCCTTCAGAATTGCGCCATTTATAGAGATTCTCAGCATGCTCCTGCTTCCTATCTCTCTCTTCATGAATGATACGACCGTTGGGCAGAGTCTTCGGGGAGAATAGATGTTGATGCAGGATGACTGGGAAGATGTTTTTCCAGGAAGCTTTGATAGCTAGGGATTTTGGAATGAAGGCGAAGACGCTCAAGTAATCTCGTCAGAATGGACTTCTTTGGGCAGCGGTCTCTTTGGACTTGATTGTGAGTGGGCTGTGACCTGTTCGACGAGATACCAGTGGGCCGAGGCCCAACAGTATGTTCAAGTATCAAATTCTGGAACTACATAGACCTCCTCCAACACATACCTGAGAAGCCAAACAGTACTGTATGGATAGGAACCAAATAAATGACCGCTCGAGTCTTCACCCGCAGGACAAAGCATACGGCCATTCTCCATCATCAGTTCCTCCAATATAAGCAGTAAAAATTATGATTTTACTTAAAATTTAATATTGGAGTAAAACTGAGATCGCAGAAGTTTATAAAATCACAAGTTTTGGAAACCCATATAGAAACTAAAACTTAGATCACACAAGATAATATTTCAGTACAAAATAAGATTTCACATCCCTATAATACTCAAATACATAAAACTTCGTTAATCGTTATATTACTTCTCAAGTTAAAT